CGAACAGTGTACTCTGTCCGTCTTCAGGAGACTGCCACACCTGAAGGAGACTTCATAAATACATGGTGTTACCGCAATCTTTACTATAAATCTAGTTTCTTTCACCATGAAAACCTTTAAGTCTTATATTTCCTCAGATCTTTCTTCTTTCCTCGCTTTTTCTGTCTGCATTTCCTTAACACAAATGTAGGCTCATATGTATGTGGGGGGGTCATCAACTCAGATCCACGCTCTCGACATGGAAAGGCCAATTATTTTATTCATCAGGGCATTAAGCATAATAGCACGTTGATAAAGATCCTAGGTTCTGTCTATTACATCTGGTCACTGTATTGTTCACGCTGAATAACCTAAAAATGAAGGTATCGATGCGTGTGCACTTAAAAACCACTTAACCGACGGGCCCACTTCAAAAACATTTAAATTGATGGGCCTATACCTGCATTTCTCAATATTTAATTTATGCAGAGAAGCATCGGCGTTAGATGATGGGATACAAGGCAAGCTGTGGATGAAATATGCAGTATTCTCTTGTGAACTTTCTCTGGTGGCACTTTTGGAGGCAAGTATTTCTGCACTTCCTTGAAAACTTCAAAAATTATTCCATTTAATCATGATACGTACATTTTATGACCATGTCAAATATTCCTCGTATAGATCCGGTCGTTAAATCGTAAACTCTATGGGTTGCTATTCCATTTTAAATAGAAGAAAGCAGTTATTAAAATGATCTTTCAGCGCTTAATAAGAACATCTGTTGGCAACATGTAAACCTCTTTTACATATGGTACCCTATATCAAAGAGAAAGTATTATGTGACTATGAAAGTTTAAAACACACCACGACACTTTGGCTCTCAATGCACCTCTAGCATAAGCAACCCCTCAGCGGTTGAAAAGAGCCGCGTTATCGTGAGCGTTCATTTTGTTGGTAGCGATGCGATCCTAACACGCGCATTTCCTAATCGTTCGTGAACCAGTAAAGTTCAATTCCAACCAAAGGAGCCTCCTTTGCTAAGAAATATCGCCCTTTCTTGGTCCAGTTCGAGGCCCATGCATTATTGAAATAACTTATATTTAGTTTTCAATTATGATGGCTTTCACACGAATCTGATGTGCTACATCCCAACAACAGTAAATAAATAGTTTATTAAGTGTTAATCATAATGGGTATAAATCTATAAGTGTTTCCCAGGGTGAAGTACATGTACTGTAGTCTCTTGCCGTCTTCGGACGTAGAGAGAGAGTCAATCCCCAAACATTAATCTGCCCTAGCTTACAAGAAACTCTGAACATGAACCGAAGACAAATCAATGAATTCATCGGAAATATCATCAATCATCAAAATCAAGGAATGATATGATATTTCTGTTATGCTAAATTAGTACATAGGCCTACAACTGAGTAATTTTCAGACCGATTTGTAGGTAAGATTTATTCAAGCTGCGTCATTCTATAAAGCAGTTACAAGTAATCAACTCACCAGGAACTTACGTCTAGCCTGTAAGTTTAAACTTGGACCTTTAAATATTTTATCAATTAGACATTTAGTCAAGTTAAAGAATAAAACATTACAATATTTTTGTCGCACAAGACAGGTCTTCATCAAAAAGTGAGAAAAAAACGGCTTAGGTGAGAGTGCTTGCAGTTCTTCAACTCAAGACTACTGTTGAATTTGAATGATGAAAACCCTTCACTGTTTCTATTTTGAGTCACGTACTCGCAAAGTTTGAAAAAAAAGGTGCCTTCGTGTTGGTAGTCGGTCCTCCGGTGGGCTTGCGCACCCCAAGAGTGGCTGCCTGGTAATTTTCCATAAATTTTACTGTAAATTTTTAACCGTCGTTCAAAAGATGTTTTGTTCTTCGCTTTAACGGTGTTCATGAAACGAAAACTTCTCTTGACAATGTCTACTCTAATTTTTTTTTGAAAGAACAAATGAAAGAGTATTATTTTTCTCAAAACAATGTGTATCATAAAGTCATTCAGCATATTTTCTTGAAATGTTAATCTATCTCAATCTCATAGTAAGCGCACGAGTTGCCTATTGCCATAAAAGTATCTTCGTTGAAGTTGGGGTAGGAGTGCCGGGCTACGTTGAGATGGCAGGTGTCTCCCTTCAGGTTGAATGAGCGGCACCGTGGTTCATTGTAACACGCTGTGCAGCACTGTAACGGGTTCACGACGGTTACTTCCTGCAGGACGTGGTTCATCAGGCATCCCAGCTGTTGATGACCCGAGCGGAGCTGCAGGCATCGCCAGCGGCGTGTACGCTCTCCCGAGCGCCGCTGGCAGGCAATGAACCTCCGCTTCTCGCAGGAGGCGTCGGCCCACTTGGCCGCAAAGCGCCACATCAGCAAGCAGTCGTGCGACCCGTCTGGTTGGTCGTGGTCCCACCATCTTACGAATTGCAGCGTGGGCGCGTGGGTGCATCCCCAGACCGTACCGACCCGCCGACAGCCTATCCACAGCCCGCCGCTGGGATCGATTCCAGACTTGCTCAGATTCAGTGCCTGAAACATGGTCCACAGAAAATTGGTCTCCTGCCTCGTGACGGGTAAAGCCAACTCCCCGCCGGCCTGGCGGCAGAAATCACTGGCATCGGACCAAGTTGCTTGCGTGCTGGTGACGATCGTGTAACAGGTCTTGGCGTGTTGGGCCCACCCTAAGGGGCAAGCTCTTCCACCAAATATATGAGGGATACAACATACCAACAGGAGAAAAGTGAAAACTTCACAACGGTACATGTTCAGAAATTTCGGCACGATTATGCATATCATAACTAAATGCACTGCAGTTTTCACGATCGATAAAGGCCTTCTCAGCATCACTTATCTCTGCCAACTTTGTTGCTGTGACTTACTGTCTCCCTTCGCATCCCCTGAAAGAATGCCGGAGCGAATAGCAATCTCCAGACACCTGAGGCGAACTCACCGATTGGACCATAACCATTCAAGAATCTCTGGAATCCTTAAAACATGCTACGAATGAGGACAGCAAAAACTGGCCCTTTTAGAATCGCTACTGCACCTGTCAGGTCTGGCATCTGCACATAAGCCTTGTGCGCCCCTGGTCGCAGCGTCAACCAAACTGAGCTGCGGTCACCGATTGTCGGAGGTGTTTTAAGAATTGACGAGTGCCCTTGGAGTGGACTAACTTGAGAATTAACCTCGACCCTAATAGTCGTTTTGCAGAGTTCCTATGGCAATTGTTGTCAAGCAGAAATTAGCGCTAAAAATAAGGGAGTTATATGCATAACTGCATATTCCATAATCAGGAGTAATAAGATAGCTATTAACACTATGACCTCCATTTAATTCGAACGTTTGTCTAATTTGTTTATCAGATTTTTCTAATTTTACTTTTTACAAGCTGCGTTAAGCGTTATTACAAGACTTTTAGAAGCAACAAATTTTAATGCCGTCCTTTCTAAATGGATCAATATTATTTTCACTCATCGTCTTTCTTTATTTGTGAAAGCGCTTCATAAATTAAGAAGACAAGCTATGGCGACAAATTCACACAGATGTCTTGCACACTCAAACTGGAAATCCTTTGGCAGCGCAGATAAAGAGATTTCATCTTTAAAAGCCCAATGAAAAAGTACGGCAAAGTACATGTACAACTAATGTCTTATTAAGCTTCAATAGGCCTAACAATAATGTATATGACTGGATCATGGAGAGGCAGAAGTAGGTAACAATATGACTCAGGTGGTACCCGACTACTCTCCCATTATGTACATGTTAACAAAATGAATGCTGAGACTCAAGAATCTCTTCAAAGCCCTCTGTATTTTCTTGACAAATTGCCCGGTAGAATATGCAAACTATACAGCGAAGTAGGCGACAAAATATGCGACATCGCAAATATTTTCGCAGTGTTTGCAACGATATTTGGGATAAACTTTGCGGCATGGCAGTTATTTCCACAGACGTCTCGCCAGGGCCATCATAGTTATCGGTAAGATTACTGGGTCGAAGACTACTTTATAAGCAGCCATAGATAACAGTGCTAAGTTTTCCATCCATTTAAAAAAAGGAAAAATACACATTTTCTTTTCACTTTTTAGTGGCTTAATTGAGGACTTTGGAACATTTCTCTCCTGAATGATCACCCGTAAAATAGTCATAAAGCCCGTCGCCATTTTGAAAATCGATGCCTACAATCCAATGCATAATAGAGCGATTTTGAGGGCCCTGTTTCAACCAATATTTTCAGAAATACAAGTTGACAGGCGTGCTGGTAGCTGACACCCCTCGTTTCTTCAAATCATTCAGTCCACTTACAACAAAATGCTCTCGTCGCAGCGAGTTGGACAGTGTGCGAATCGTAATTTGCTCCGTGTAGGCGTGTTTATTGCTCGCCTGCAACCACAGCTGTACGATATGGCGCTTCATCCTGACGAGTGCACCCCAGTAAGTGAATTCTTATAGACACCGATGGTAAATCCTTACACTTCAAAATATATCTTTAAATACTCACAACTCTCACTGGCGTTCAGGCCGCAGAGAAAAATGATGTTCAACAAGTCTTCATTTTCCTTTAAATTGTTTGTGGGTTGAACAATGACTGAGAAATGAGAAATTCTCACCCAGAACAGACCACCCCAAAGGGAAGGAAATTTTCCAACCTGGAAAACTAGCCATTTCGAAAAAGCACCCCTCTGCAAAACGACTAAATAAGGCCTCTTTCAGACCCGATTGCATCCAAATCGTTCAGAATTAGAAGCCTTAAGTCCAGGCCAGAGGTTCAGTGCAGTGTTTCTTCAATTCATCAATTTAATGGCTCTAAAAATTTCTCATATAAATATTTTCAGTGTATAACTTTTATTAAGGAGCTCAACGGATGGGATTTTGGCCTATTTACAGGGGTACACCCTGACGTGACTGTGGGTTATACACGTTTGTGTGTGTGTACATGTATATGTCTCTGGTTGTAATATATTCTAGCTTCAGTGGCTGGAGAGTGCCACCAAAAGGCTCGTTCGCAACAACCAGGTTCCTACCAGGTTGCGGATACATCTTTCAGTGAACGCGGAGGTGTACAGGGTAGGTGGGTGAGTATAAACTGTGCCTAGTGTACAGCTACGTACTTAAGCGTTAGGGATAGGCCCCAAAATATTAGATTTGTGATTTTTCCTCTCGCATTGTGAGGCAACTCGGGAAAAATAGGAACTATAAAATCTCATTATGTTTGGACCAATTTATTTGGAACGTGTTCCTCGTTAACGACGGTTAGGCCTATGTCATAAACTCAGCAATCAGACTGGACAGTTTTGGGACTTTGTTGAACATCCTCGTTCCCAGCCCCTTCGATATTGCTAAAGAGCCTGAAAGTTGACCCCTGATGGCGCGCTAGGTACGATATCGCCGGACGTGAAAGGTCTTTTAAAAAATCGTTTTTTACCCCATCTCGAGATCACTTTTCCCAAAATATTTACTTAAGGAAGACAAAGGTAAAATTCCAACTTGAGCATTTAATGGGATAGTTTCAGTGAGGAATTATTTTTCCAGAAATCATCGAACGTGATAGGACGGCCCAATGTAAAATCCTTTACTTTCAGACTCTTAAGGCCAATAGTGACAGGTTCAATAAGCAAACACCCAAACGTTATCACTGCCTTGGTTTAAATGTTACAAATAAAGATTTCACAAATGCATACAAGTTATCAGAACTTCATACAGAACTTCTTTTAATGTTAAAGTAGTGAAAAAGTGACAGCTAGAATCAAAGGTGATTGAGAAAATTGATAAAATGAGCCTCCAGGGTTCACACAGGGCGTCAAGCCAATTTCGTTTAGTTCAGTGTACACAGGTTCGTCTCGATCTCCAATCCAACATTTTTAACACTGCATGTTCCAGTACAACGCATGTGCACAAAAAGCACGAGCGTGATTGGTCAGAACACAATAAAGCGAAGCGTAATTGGTCAGTGAATTGGCCTTGTTTGTCCCTATCACCCTTGGACGCTGGGAAGGGCAAATGAATGACTTATTTTTGTCGAGCACTCATTAGATAGATTTCATTCGCACAGTTACACCATAGAGCAAGGAATTAAACGGACCTTTCCAAATATGCATCAACACATCGGCTACGGGTTCCGTGTTGGTCAAAATCACTCCTGGCCGAACGCAACGCACACGTGTGTTATGTTAATGGAGTCGGTTTTTATGTCTGTAAAGTGAAACGCATGAACGCATCGTGGACGCAACGCACTAAAAATGTACTTTATGAAAGACGCCTTACTACTGCACATGTGCATTGAAATGTACATTTACATGCATGGGTATCGGATAAAGACGGCAAGTAACCCTCCATGCTTTACGCGTCTGTAGTTGTGACGTAGGCCTATTTCCTTTACAGAATTTGGTAAAAAGCGTTTCACTGTCTTCCCCAGCGCCCTGTACTTAGATGTTGCAGGGTTCGGAGGTACTCAGTAATCCAAAGATCCCCAAATCCATGCCAAACTGGTAAAAGCGTAACTAAAGTTTTCGAGGTTTGTCTATATCCGTCTACACTGCCCTCCTTGGGGGAGGGGGTTCTGACCAAAATAAGACAGTCAGCCAGTCAATCAGCCCCCCAAAAGTTCATTTTAAAGAAAATCTTTCCAAGTCATCGCAACAGTGGTCTCCTTTTTTCAAACATCAGTCCTTCTCAATCTCATAGTAAGCACATGAGTCGTTTGTCACCATGAAATTATCTTCTTTAAGGATGGGGTTGGAGCGCTGGGCTATGTTGAGCTGACAAGTGCTTCCTTGGAGGTTGAACGAGTGGCACCGGGGGTTGTCGTAACACGCCGTGCAGCACTGCAACGGGTTCACGACGGTTACCTCCTTCAGGACGTGGTTCATCAGGCAGCCGAGCCGTTGAAGACCCGAGTGTGCCAGCAGACATCGCTGGCGGCGTGCACACTTTCCCGGGAGAAGCTGGCAGGCGGTGAACCTCTGCTTGTCGCAGGAGACGTCGGCCCACTTGACCGCGCGGCGCCACATCACTAGGCAGTCGTCCGACCCGTCCGGCTGGCCGTCCTGCCACCATCTCACGAACTGCAGCGTAGGCGTTTGGGTGCATCCCCAGACGGCCCCAGCTCGCCGGCAACCCATCCACAAACCGCCATTCAGGCTGTATTCGTCTTTGGTTAGATTCTGTGCTCGGAACATGGACCACAGAAACTTGGTCTCCTGCTCCGTGACGGGCAGTGCCAACTCCCCGCCGGCTTGTCGGCAGAGAACTCTGGCATCGGACCAACTTACTCTTGGTGTGGTAATTACCATGTAACAGGAGTTAGAGTGTTGGGCCCATCCTTTAGGGCAGTTTTTTTCGCCAAAAGTATTTGGAATCAGACACGTCATCAGGAGAAATATGAAAACTTTAGTATCATCAAAACAGCGCATGTTCAGAAATATTTTGGAACGCACAAGTCTATGACGAATTGTACCCGATTCTCACAGCCCTTAGAGGCCTTGTCAACATCAGATACTTCTACCAGCCCTCTTAAATGTTGTTTCTGACTGAGGTGAGCTCACCGGCAGAGAAGACCACGACCAGTTCAGAATCTTTTCAGTCCCAAAGATGCCACAGTCCAAGAAACCGAACTGCCCTCGGAGTTGACACCGTATACTGTGTGCATGCGCACGTTTCCAAGTGTTCGCGCTATGTGACTACTTTGACTGAAGACCGAAGAGCGTTTATTGTAAAGTAACTGCAGACGTTGATAGGTTCAACACCACAAGGACTTTTAGCGTTGGCATGGAAACGGATACACCCATGGTGTCAAGTGTGAAGCGGTGCAAAAATCGATACGTTTTCAGCGAAAGCGGTACTGTGAAGGACAAACTTATTCAAGTCAACATTTCAAAGACTGGGGGCAGTCAAATATTTATCCAGTTATTTATTCAAGGAGACGTTATAGTCATGCGTTTTCTGACATTTCTTACAGGCCTATTTGTTAGTGGTTGCTCTAGTATAGGCTTTTAGACGCTATGAATTTTAATACCGTCTTTACCTTAATGGAACTTCAGCGTGTGCAAAGAATATTTTCGTATGTTTCATTTATTGTCATCGGCGCTGACAGAATTCTTAATTACTGTTTTTGAAATTTGGGTATTGTAATTATCGCATTACATGTATATGAATCACGGAAACGTCTATGACACGGGTTTTGGTACAACATCGGGGCCATGCGCATCGTGAAGTTGCGAATATTTGCCTAAGCAAAGGAGTTTAAATGGGGATTTTGTACTGTGGACGCGAATTCCAAACTGAGCTAATCTCGGAAGCACCGAAATACAAATGAGGACACGCGTTTTCAAATTGATCCAGACTCAAAAACATCGATATAGAGAATGAAGGCATAATGTTAATAAGAGATGTGGAGTGCCTCACCATCCACCCGGTAAGCGCTATTGGTTTTAACACGTTGCAGGAGCTTCCCTGAGTTTGCAGGCTGACACACAAATACAGGTCAGGTTGGAATACGAACCACGTGGAGACGCAAAGTTTTGTCCCAAGTCATTAAGTTTTTTATGCCGAACAAAGATCTACCTGGAGATGCATTACTAGTTACAGGTCCATAGGTTAGAAGCTTGCAAAGGTAATTATTCTCTATAAAAAAGGGGAAAAGAGGAAGTTTGAAAGTGCTTTTAATTGGTTACGAGATGGAAGTTCAGAGGGGGTAAAAACAGTACTTACAAGCGCCAAAAGTCAGCATCTATTCCTCAGTTCTACCCCTTCGTTTGGTTCCTCTTATTCTGTATGAGCAAGTATAGGAGAAAACTGGATGGCAGGCAGCGGGCATAACCGCACTTTGATGGGTAACGGGCTTGTGTTGCCTGCATGCTGAATTTGTACAAATTTGTACAATCGAATAGAGTATGGTGTACTATTTACGACAAACATTGCTCTCTCTCTCTTGCCTCCCTCCAGGCGACGCAACCAGACGACGCGACGGCACGACGGCTCCCTTGCGTCGTTCCGTCGGGTCGAGCCACACGACGCTTCGCGTCGCGCGTCGCGTCGTGCCGTCCGTACCGTCTTAGGTCCTTTCCTTGTTGCATTTATTTTTTTCTGCCTAAACGTCGCCCCTTCCGTTGCCAGTTGCGTCGTGCTGTCATGCGTCGCGTCGTACGACAACCACTAAATGACGTCATACTTCGGTACTCTATCCGGTTCGTAGGTGACTTCGTCACAAAGTCAAACGCGCCACGATTTGAAGGCTCTCATTGGACAATCGCTGAAGGTGTGCGTTAACTTCTGGTTCCATGGTTCCATGTAAACGGCGATCAATGCATATAACCCTATGTGCAATGCACGTGTGCAGTAGGCGTGGTTTAAACTGAAGAGACGTCACACTTACGAACCGGATAAACGCTCGCCTGTGTTATGGTGAGTACCCAAAAACAAAACGCCGCGGTTTGGTATTGTGTTCCCAATAAAACTCAAAATACAACAATTCATGAACTCATAAACATACAACGAAGTGTCATGGATGAAAATCAGAGTTTTGTTCAAGCCGTAGCTTTCCATGCGGGAACAGTGTCAAAACTGTATCTTATGGGGTAGTTCTTTTTTTTTTTACTTGAGGGGACAAACGGGGTGGACATCCAACTTTTTTCCCCAATATACACCCCTCAGCCAAGACTTCTCCCTTTCCCTGCCAAAATAATACTGCACGGTCTTGTGGCAAGTGGGTGTGCTGCAGGCATGTAATTCGCATTGTAATTAGGATTTAGCGACACGGTATTGTCACATCCTTGTACTTTGACCCATCGAGCACGTGAACCATAACCCGTCCCAGTCTAGTAAATCAGGTTAACTTCTTCGAATCAACCATGAACTGAGTTCTACGTACGTTGGTGACGCGCATGAAACAACACTGTCGGGTAGGTTTGCCACTGTTGTGAAGGGTTCACTCGAAATCACGTGCACACGTCATTAGTCAAGGATTTGGCTGACAGTACGCATTTCTGAACTGAGTTACTGCGCGGACTGCTGTTTATCAGAGTAAGTTTCAAATTCTGTTGAGTGCCTATTCAGTTGCTTTGTGTGGACTATGCTTAAATCTGTATAATGCGCAGTCATTCGTATAGCACGTGTGAGTACTCAAACCCCCTTGTTACCGCGGTGAATGATAGGTCTGTATTGCTCTTTCACTTATTAGTCGTCGGTTTGCCAGATGACATCAAGGGTCATCATGTAGTAAAATGCGCCGACCTTCAGATAGGATGTTTGTCACATGTCAACACGACCTTAGTATAGTGTAATGGTGCAATTCTAATTTATCATTTGCTAGCAAAAAACTCGGTACCTCATAAGCTCCATGTTTTCACTGGCCTCAAGCAAAACTTGAAAAACGTCCGTGATGTACATTTCTGGCTGAAGACATTCGTATGACAGTTACACTTGAAGCACACACAAGTTGAGTAAGATTTGAAGCTTTTCATGATGGAAGTTACGTGAGCTGTAGGTTTGCGGGTACACCATGGAAGCTCTCTCTTCAGAAGAGGCGTGGTTCTGAGAAGAACCGGTGAGAATTGACTCGACGTTTCGCCCAGGATGCTCTGGCCGTCCTCTCCTGAGGACACAAAAAAAGTTGACCACTCAAATTCAGTTGCCAAGACTCTCCCCAATCATGATCCGAAAACTAAGTCTTAATTGAAGAGTGAAACCGTTGGGACGAAACTTTTAGAGTGAACCAGTTTGAAAAAGAACCTCTTCTTGTGAAAACGCGTGAAATCTCATCTATTTCGATTGATTATTAAGTTTCACTCGAATTCGTTTTGTCCGTAATTTCAATCGAGGGAGTTTCACTCGAGAGTCACTCTTTGAAATGCAGCCTGCCTGCTCTCCTATAGACGGCTGATCGTGTCTTTGACGCACGGGGTCAGCAAACTATCGAGGAACAAAGCGTTAGTAACCACAGTCAATATTTACGTAAAGGAGGCATGTGTGTCAGCTCTGTTACCCTAAATCGGGCCATGTTTCAGCGTGCCTCTCTGTAAGAGGGAGGCTAGGTGGCCACTAAACCGATTGGGGACTCTTAATAGTCTTCGACACAGTGTTGATGAAATGCATCTACTGTATATTGACTCAAGGAATTTCGTGGGAAGTTCGTATTGGTGATCACATTCAAATATAAGTTTTGGAGACCCTCCTTTCTGAGGATTTTTAGTTTGTTGAAGAGTTGGTGCAGTGACGGTAACTGGGGTAGGTGCACGACAGACATGTCCCCATCGGATGTATGTACCACTCAGTGACCGCACACATTTGAAATCTTAACATGAAAACAACCTAAATACAAGTTCATCCGCTCCCAGTCGGTAGCCCAACTATGATTTTTTTTCTGAATGGCGGCAGGCATTTTTTTCAAGGAGACACGTAATTGAAGTTTAGGTTTTTACGTAGGCGGGCTTTGGTGTCCGTAAACCAATGACGGATCACCGATCGTGATCCCGATCTAATCCGTGTGAAACTAAACGCGGCCGACCACTCTAGGCATAGCCTACTAGGCACGTGACAGTTCCCCGAATGAAGCAATGAGCATCACGTGCATGAACAACGCGCAGATTCATGTGACAACAATCGCATTGGCTCTTGCCTTTAAAGGGTTCATGCAACAAAATTGATGCAATCTTTGCAAATTCATCTTTGTTTCCCATTCAACTCCATTTTAAAATTTGTTATTATTTCAATAATGGAAGGTTTGTTCTTCCACAAATATTTTAATGGACAAATGCAGAGTTCGCAACGTGAACGGAAAACCCCCGAAACGAATGTTCTCTTCGTGAGATATAAAACGACATAGCACAGTGCCCTTATTATTCCGGAAAAGCATGGAAAATGTTTTCATGTAAAATGCACTTTTTGAAAAATAAGATTTATCAAAAGAGGAAAAATCTCTATTTTGTTCTTAATTTCTGAACAATACCGGGTTGCATAAGGTTCGTTCCCAGTTCTTTTCATCACGACAGGTCCCTCAACGGCAAGCAACTTCCCAGTTAATTCACTCGTGTCATGAGACTATACATTGTGTTTGTCGTATTAATTCCTGTTATGTTGGGGGCGGATATTCACTCTGCTCCATACACAGTGTGTTATCGAAACCAGCTATGAATGTAAACAGACATACTAAACTTCGACTGAGCATCAACATAAAAGGGTCAGAAAAAAAGGAAGGAATGGTGTTATGGGGTCACCGTGGCAATATCAGTGGAAGCAAGCCCAGGTTCCCCCCGGTGAAAATGTGTTAAATAGTAATATTTCTTTTGTGGAGTGCTACAAATAGCACCTGTGCCAAATTTAAAAGCATTTCATGCACAAATGTGAAAACTATGCGCAAAATACTGTTTTTGACCAAAAATGAGCAAAATTGGAATAGCGCCCTCTTGTGGTGACATTGGGAGCAGTCCGACGAGATGGCAACAGGCAGATTTGAATTCAGCACCTTCGTATTGACCTACAGCACGACTTCATGATGCCGTGAGAACGGACCTCCAGTTGCAGTGAAGCTACGATTTCAGCCCACACAAAATAGTGCCCTCGATCGGTCTATTTTTTAGTATATACGGCCGCGAATACGCTTTCACCGACCGCCCTGTTTGTAGTATGAGTTAAAGTGACTGGAGAATTTATCATTTACTTGGAAGCAAATTATATTTTACTCAGCACTGTATGTCTTTTAATGTGTACATGATTTCAGAAAGCCCATCTTTACTTAGCTGAGATTTGGAGGGTGGGCTCACTCCCAGCTGACGGAACGTAAAAAACCCCGCACAACCCGTTGTTCATACTTGTTAACAGTACTTAAGCTTCATGTTCGAAAGTTTACCCCCATCTTTCTCTTTGCCTTCGAAACTACTGATTTTTTAACTTGCACACATTTAGGTCATTTCCCCAAGGCAACTAGCATATAATACATTAATACCCAGATAATCTCCCCCGGTTCCTGAACACTTGCTTGGACACTGCAATATCAAGGCAATGCACATGGTACTCACCGACGCGCGGATGCGTGCAATGCTCACGTGATCGGTTTCATTAACTCGTCTAGTCTAGTTTCCGCGTGTATGAAAAAAACCTATGTAAAAATAAAGGATATTTTACAGTGCTTAAAATAAATAGGGATCAAGTGACAGGTTGACGTCATTTTTCTATTACCTATAACTATATGTGTTACTGTCCCGGTGCCAACAGAGCTTTCAATATATCAAGCTCCCGAATACCGAGCCCTGCAGTTGGATACCGAAGAAACTAACAAGTTCAAGTAAGCCTTTTTGAATTTCACACGATGGTCGCCTGATTACTCTGGTGCCATGCAGAATATGAGAAAAAGTTTGTGTAGAGGCGCATGTTGTCTTGTGAAAAAGCCCTATTTTTAACCGTAAACAAACTACCTCTTTAGATCAGAATCTTCAAATCTCTGTCGGGCTACAGTTCATGTATAAATTTTAAAGAAGCTCCTCAGAGACACGATCGCAGTCACCATTTTAAACCACATTATGGGGCCTGGATTTTTTTCCCATCTACGTGAAAACAAGATGGTGGCCAGTCGGGCTGCACAAGCAAGCCCAGGTTTTCCCACCCCCCGCGAAAATGTGTTAAATAGTAACATTTCTTTTGTGACGTGTTAAAAATAGCACCTGTGCCAAATTTAAAACATCTAATGAACCAACGTGAAAAGTCACAGTCACCACCACAGTTTATTTTTTAAGTCTTAGCTGAATCAAACGATGCATTGTCATAGCTATTTTTTAGTTTGGTTAGTTAATCTGAGAGGTGATTTTCTTGTCCTTACACGCAGACTGCTTCTCCAATCGATCGTACCATGCAGCCGTGAAGCATGGGTTGCTGCTTCAGCGGTAAGGATTACAGCGACAAAGAACAGGAGAGCGAAGGTATATTCTATACCCGACCATCAAGCCTTCACAGCAGTTTAGCTGGTCATGTCAAAGTTAGAAATCACAATTAAGCATCAGCACCATACGGCAATGAAATCAACAACGTGAATGCGGGATATTCTGGCTTCATTAATGAGGATTCCTGTGAAACTCTTAACTGAACGTGGCAAGAGGGGTCTCAAATGTAAATCCCAAAATGGGGTCCCGTGGCGCACGATCTGAAAGATTGAATCCGGCACAAACGCAGGGCTAAGGGTCCATTCGTTATTACATTTCATGACATTGTACTTTATCATAAAATTAAAGTTATCGTTGACGTTTTAAGACTTTTTTCTAACTTACATTATCCAACTACCATAAACATTTGTTTCAAGAGGATTTCACCACATGTGTTTTTTCCCCGTATTTTTATCACTTTGTGTCCAGCCACACCAATTCTTGGTCAGCCGCAGCCTCGAAGTCCAAAAATGCCCCAGCGCACTTCTAGAGGTAGGATTTCGAGAGTGAATTCAATTTTACCACCTTCTCATACCACATGGTTTTAATGGCGGTTGTAGGTCCCCACTAGCAGTGGCGTAAATCTGTGTGGGAAATTGGGGTGGAGGGGTCGATGTGGGAAGGGATGACTCACCTGACCATGGCAGTTTGAAAAGTAGGGGGAGGAATTACACTATATACACTGTATAGGGGGCGATGTTAATGACAAAGTTTTATGTGTATCAAATTCATACAGAATCTTCCGCGAAAATGGCATATTTATGTTATCTTGTTTCCCCTTTTCAGTGATATTGCCAACATTTTAGTCGTTGGGAAATCCTAAGAATTCATCACAACCTGCTTTATTTTTTTGCTCATCACAAAAAGTGTGTGGGGGATATTCAATAGCACATGCCCCCACCTCAAAAGGGGGGGGGGATAACAAATGCGAATCACAAACGATTCAAAGGATAATCCTATTTTGGGTTGGAACAAATTCTATAGATTAATTCGGCGACCAGAATTAGAAGCAATGCGCTGCGGTGATATATTAACTCCCATGGACAGGTGGTACGCGTCACATACCTCTTCGACCAATCGACTAACCATTAGACATGCATGACTGCGGTGGCATAGCACTCACACGCACATTCTTCAGCTTGACGCGCGCGTGCGTTTGGCAAATCAAGACAACCGATTGGTCAAAGAGGTATGCAACGCGCGCATACCACCTGTCCGTGAGCGTTGTGCCACCGAAGTATGTGCCAAATGCACGTCGGGTTTTAGGACTGGCTTGCGATCAGTCGTGACTTCTTCTCAGATTAGTTTATAATATATGCCCTCTCTTCAAACACATGAAGTGGCCTCTTGAAAAGCCCTCAGACACAATGTTCAGTGTGTCATTCATACCTTTGCTTGGCTTGCATGTATAGCAGGAAATTTTCAACTCGATGCGAGTTCCCGTTTACCCCAGCTCAGAATTTGGAGAAGAGAAAAATGGCTCCTCGCTGTTTTTGAAATTTATACCACAGTGACCCACTAATCAGTTGGGGTCTGGACAGTATTGTAACGAGTCACTAAATTTGGTGACCCGAGTCGACTCATTTTAACATTGTGACTCGAGTCGAGTCATTAGGTCAAGAAGTCGAGTCGAGTTGAGTCAAGTCACTTAGTGTAGTCGAGTTGAGTCAAGTACCGAGCTCGAGTCACAAATATCTGAACAAAATAAAATAAAAACACAACTACATGTAAGTCATTTTGGGTATTATTATTTTTATTTAGACATACTGAAAATAAATTAGAGTGACAGGTATCGAGCCAACTAAAATTTGGGTTTAAATTTTTTGAGACCCAAATCTTATAAGCTTGTATTCGAGTTGAGTCTCCATGAGAGATTCGAGTCGAATCTAGTCATTTGGTCGCAGAGAATTGAACTATTACCCGTCGGGACTCGAGTTGAGTCGAGTCGCCAAATATTGGGACTCGAGTTGGACTCGAGCCGGGTCATTGACTTAAGTCATTACAACTCTGGATCTGGATACGCCATGTTGCCATTTTCCTCCAAGGAATTTGAAGTGCGAGCACTCAAGAAACGGTACTGTCATATTCCTCTGGAAGAGAGGATTTTTACGGATTAAAAAAATGGCAATCACTTCTCCCCAAAGCCCATCACAATGCCCCGACTTCAATTCGTGGACACGCTTATGCCATAAAGTAAAGTGCTCGTTCATAAACCGAGGACCCCCCTTCCCCCTTTCACTGACCATGTGGTTCCACGTTGGAAATGAAGAATTTGTCATTGATATGTTTCTTCATCATCAAAATGAATGTTTTCAGATTCTGATGAGCGACAAGGCCACATAACACCAGATCAAGCGCACAGCAGCTACCTGAAAAGTACGTCCATGAAAAATTCTTTTCCTACTTTGTTTTGTCCGCTGCCTGTACGTTTTGCATATCTCTTTATGGACTCGGTTTGTTCATTATAAATATAGTCCCCCATTTTCAGCCTACTCCAGCTTTTACTTTTAGTGATATTTAAGCATGTTTTGTAGACTAAAGAAAGACAAAGTGGTACAGAAACACTCCGATAACAAAATGATAAACTAAAGTTCATTTGTAGCCTCTCTTTCTTCACAAGGCTCAGTTAATCAATAAACACCGCCCCACAAACATTTTCACCGAAGTCTGCGGATAACAGCTGGACATATTTGCAAAATTAAACCACCTTGAGCAGAAGCACTCCCTCATCGGTTAAAAAGAGCCGTGTTAGTCGGGAGTTTTCATTTTGTTGTTAGCGATGCGACTGCAACGTTTGCGTTTCACAGTCGTTCATAAACCAGCGATGTGCAGGTATCAAAGGAGCCTCTGTTGCTAGTAAAATTGCGCCCTCTCTTGGTCCAGCTCAGGGACCAGATACCTTTTAGTCTGAGTACGTGTGGCGTCAGTGGTTTAATTAATAATGCATATAGGAGTCAAGGGTCCAAGCTCGGTCTCTGTTTTCCCTCTCTCAATCCAGGTGTGAATGGGTCCCCTAGCTGATATTTTTTTGTGACTGATCAGCGAGTTAGCGACTGAAATGGCTGCACCGAGCTTTTTATACCTTTTCAGGGAGCGAGATGGTTTGGGAAATGATTACTGGCCCGATGAGCAGGGATAGTAATGACATCAGCACAATGAGACTTTGCACAAAATGTGCCAGATAAAACTACCCTTTGTCGTACCATTAGCAGTGATAAAATATTCAGAAGTTTATCTTATTTCAGTCATTTGAATCCTGTTATAAAACAGACAAGTTGAAAGCTAAAGAGGAACGCGAGTCAATTCTTCCCTCTGCTAAAGACAGGAAGAACGATCGGCCGACGCCGACCAGACACGGTGCAATAACAGACCCGAGAGAGGTAGGTACGAATGGGAGGGTAGGCTTACAAGAAATGGATTACTGTTAACGAGCCTGGACTTTGCTGTGATACCATGTAGAAAGACTCTGGCCATTGAAAAATTATAGGAGGTTTTCTGTTCACACTGTGAACTCAAATTGAAACTGAGATACCTTTGCTTACTGGCCTGCTATCATGTTTGGAAATAGCAGTGAATGACCAAAGAAAAGAACGTTTAATGAGAACAAAGCTTACAAAATTATGCCAAGTTGTGGTTGCATTTAGTTTTTTCTGGGAATTAAATCGCCCCGTTGCTGAGGAATATGCTAATTATTATCCTAACTTCACAAAAGGCGCCAAAAAGCCCATAAAATAGCAGGAAAGTTACGATTGAAAATGGAGAGAAACGATGGCTATATAAATTTTTGTGCTGATTGTGTGGACCACTTTATCAAAGGTAGGCTGCAGTCTCTACCCCGATTATAGGTTTACAGTGAACATCCGTTAAGCTGAAGTATGCTACAAGGGTAAAGTGTAAGGCGCGGTTCCATCCATACATCTGCTCCATTCTGCTTCCATTCGAGAAGAAAAGCTCTGATTATTCCTGAAATTGTTGAATAACAGAATTGATGCCAGACTTCCCAAGTTCTGAGGCCTTTTAAACTGGATTACCCTTCGAGAGCTATAAGACAGTTCAACAACCTAATCGATTCCGTTTTCCATTTTGCATCGTTTTCCAATTTTCACTGAGGCAACATTTTCTGTAGTCTCTTCTCGTGTCTCTCGCAATAAAATCATTTGGCAGGAATGAAACTAAGTCGTTTTGTATCCACAGGCTGCCCATATCAGGGGAAAGAAGTTGGGAGAGGCCGAGGTGGCAACTGCAAAAATGGCTTCCGGCGCCTTGAGGTGGAAGCAGACCGCATCCAAACTGCAGACAAAGTGATGCGCGATTAGGAGCTATGGAGGACCAACGCCAGAAGTCTCAATGCAGCCATTTGGGTGTTTATTTTATTTCTTTTCCCCAAAGTGTGGAGGGATTCTCCGCTGAGTACGGGCAAGAGGATGTTCACGTGGAATGATGAGCGCTGAGGATGCATTATTTTATACATGAACACGTGGTGCTGACTGCATGTGCAGGCGAGGCCACCAAACGCACAAAACGTGGTGTCACTACCAAGCAGCTGCAGATCGTGATTGACAATGAATACCTATTCATAAGGAACCTCAATCCTTCTGACGCTAGCTGTGCACTTCCTGAGGCTCCAGTGCAAATTTGTTCTCGTATGACTTGACATTACGCACGATTCTATAGTTGCGGCTGGTCTGCAGCCACTTCCGATAGAGTTGTGTGTGGTTTCAAGACGAAACCAAGTAATTCTGACATTACCTAATTACTTTAAAGGAAAATGGCTACAGTTCCTGGATATATTTCGACGAAAACGAAAGGCAAAAATAGCTTTGGACGGTATACTAGCGTATAGAATATGCAAAATTATATCTGGTAATTGTGATCGATCAGAAGTCCTTTTTTTCAGTTCACACGCAAATTGAAACGTTCATAGGCCTATTCAAGTTGTGATAGGGTCATGATTGGTTAAAGTATCAGCAAAGACACTACATTACGGACTTTCAGCAGATTTCTTTCGCATGTGAATGGTTGTTTTGTCGTGAAAATCTTCTTTCTAAATGTTGGGGGCACCTTTCCCGATGAACACTCGTCACGTCAGCACAACACCGAGCGCGTTAGACGTGATGACAAGTCGTAACTAATCGTGTTTTGTCTATGGACTTCAGTCGAGATCCATTGGTGCGGCTCTAGTATATTAAGAACACAGCTGGTCGAGTTCTAACTTATCGAATATTGCTTGTGGAGAACAGAACCAAACCAATTAATTACCGACCGTGGTTACTCGAACTTACCCGTGGTTGAGGCCTGATGCCTCAGGGAGGACAGGTGCGAATGTACATAACGATTTCAGCATTGATACCGGTAAAAATGAATACTGAAATAGATTAATGACAATCTTATTCTAAAATGAACTTCAAATTTTTTTATTACAAGTTACTAAACTCATTGTCTTCAAGATTAAAATACTTTTACCAAAAACTAATCTGTAATTTAATGAGTCATTTCTCTCTCACCCGAATGTTCTTATTGAACATTGTTGATATTAATGTTACTTATTGGTTGATTTCACATGCAGTAATTGACTTCTGCGTTGAAGGACATGGTGTCTAAACACCCGAGGCTTCCGACGGTGACATGCGTCCCTGAAGGCTATTCCCTAAATGAGCCGAGGGCGGAAATCACCCCTCAAGTTTTTTTCCGATACCGTCTGAGTTGTGTCGAGTCTCTAAATTCATTTGGTGACTCGAGTTGAGTCGATACCTTTTCATATAGTGACTCGAGTGGAGTCATGAGGTGATTGGTGTAATTACACCGAAAGTACACCGAATGTGACGTTTTGTTGCCCATCATGTGATGGTTCTGGGCTAATGAAAATGCAGTATTCAAGACGGGAATATAATTATATTACTATTACACTGTACTTTATTTCGACCGGATCCTGCATAATTAGTAGAAGGAGTAAATTGAGCTGTTTTGCATTTTGATTTGTCACTCAGTTCGGCATCCTTATGAAAATGGACGTGATTGTTATTATTTATTTTTATTGAGAGTTAATTTACTGGACCATTATACTTAAATAGCGCCCTCAATGGGTACGGGATTTCCCCGTTAACATCATGGCTGATCAATAATCATCGTGCGTGCCCGTTGTTTTCATCAGGATCGTGATTATAAATGATGTCACGCAGTAATTGAACCTAAATTTCACATCTGAAATCGACTGATGTCCATAGCTCCAGCAAGTTGCGGTCTTTGTTGGACCATCGCTGTGTGTTTGAGGAGATTCTACCCGTAGAGCAAGCTCTATAATTCTACCGAAAATATCAACAATGGCTTCAACGGCTGACCCGCATGAGGTACGCGAAACAATTAAAGGACAGAAAAGATCGTAAGGCCATGAGAATGAAAGCCTTGCGTCCGAAATATTTTGGAAAAGCATGAGGCTTTTTTCTCATTGTTTATTTTTTAGCAACCTTCTTCCATGTTGTACATATTGCAGTCTAAAGGTACGGATCAGAGAATTTAATCTTTCATGGTTTGTTTAGGTAGGCATATGTATGCACATTTTATACCCTTTTTACTGCTGCTTTATGATTTGTGATTTGAAATGTATTTTTGATAGCCTTTTTTCAAATAATGAAATCTTTTGTAAATAATAAATTTTGTAGCGGGGTGTTTTGGAGCATGCGGGCCATGGACGCAAATCTAAAACTTTCATTATCATGGCCAAAGAATAGTGTGTCCTCATGGATTATTATTTCTCCCCATAATTGTGCTCATACGAAAACATAGAAAAGAAAATTAAACAGAAACAGCACCTGCTACGAAACTTACGCCTCAAGGAACAAGGTTGACTTCTTTTTCGTCGGTACGTAGCAACAGATTCACTGAATCCATGTTTAACCATGGGACTTAAATTTGGGTTTATAGAGTTTCCAGACACTCCAACATGTCCAGCCTTAGACTTCAGCATGCCCAACACTGCATGCAGTATGCCCCATGCTTTGGCACAAAGTCTGCTCCAGTGCAGGGCCACAAGGGTGCACTGTCCCGATTTTTAAGGAAAAGTCTCTGCCAGGCAGAGGTACTTAAAAAGTATCCCTACAAATTCCTTCAAAAAGAGAAGTCTGTGTGGGCCAAGAAGTTGTGGGATTGTGTGAGTGTGGCCCAGGATCATCTCTGTAGATCCAGGGTCTCCCATTTGGGGGCAAATTGGACAAAAAGTTATTAAAAAATTGTCAGAAGAGCCCGAAAAAGGTGAGGGATGCCATTTGAAAAATGGCTGCTGAAAAGACTTGGGAACTTAACTTTTTGGGGGGTGAGTTTGTTTTGGGCAGATAATTAAAAGATTCATTGGTTAACCTACTAAAATTTACCTACGGAAATCAAATGAAATCTGAAAGACCAAAAAACACACTGTTTTTGTTTTGGAGGCCTCAGGGACTTTAGTTGTCTGTAATGTGGCTCCAAAGTTCGTTGATTTTACACTGATTTAAATGGAGCTTGAATTAGTTCGGTGCACCCATAAGTCTTATTTCCATTCTGCAGTCAACTTGAAAATATCACGTGCATGTGACTAGCAATGACTAAAGCGAGTAGTGGGGAACACCCCTTGTATATTCTTGTCGCATTGCTACAGCAGATTTTAGTTGTGCTTGTGTTGCGTTCTCACCTTGTAATATGTGCTTTGTCTTCTTCCCGCTCAGAGTTCATAACTTCAGTCCTCGCCAGTGGGTATACACAGTGGTCTTTATTTGAATTGAAATGACCATTTCAAAATTAACATTTTGGGTAGCTGCTCGGACTAAACTGTTAGTCCAGGTTTGGGCAAGGAAGCATACCTGATATCTTTCTGTTCAATACTTATACAATTTTACAATGAGATTGATTGTTTCTTTTTGTTTTTAAACACCCTAGCTCGTGTCACTTATAGCCAACCTAAAAATATCCGGCGTGGTCATCATTGATGACAAACAGTTTGACTGGGAAAACAGCTCATACCTAGGACAAGGCACACATGGGACAGTGTGTTGTGTGACATGGAACCAACCCGGCCATGACGCTGTCAAGGTTGCTGCTAAGAAAACTAACAGAGTGGAGTCAGTTAACGAGATAAAAGTACTGATGCAGTTAGAACACCCGAATATCATTAGTTGTTATGGTGTTGTCATCACTGCACCTACCCTCTCCATTATTATGGAATTTGCCCCAAACGGCTCCTTGGATAACTACCTGAGTAAACATGCTGAAGAGCCACTGTCGACGGATAAATTTTTTCAGTGGTGCATGAACTTGGCCCTTGCTGTTCAGTACATGCACGACCAGGACCTGGTGCACCGTGACATCAAGGCCCCCAACTGCCTCATCTCCCAGGATTGGGAGCTGAAGCTCTGTGACTTTTACGATGCGAGGGAGCTGCCAAGGACAACCAGTACTGAGGAACGGGGGTCCTGGCCATGGATGGCACCTGAGGTGATGTCCGAGCGGAAGTACTCCAAAAAATCGGACATCTACTCTCTGACGATGGTCTTTTGGCAGCTACTCACCCGCCAGGAGCCCTTTCATCACCTGCAGAACAGAGTTCAGGTTGTGTGGGCTGTCTGTCAGCATGAGAGGCGACCTATAATTCCCCAAGACTGCCCAGATGTCTTGGCAGCAATCTTAACTGATGGCTGGGAGCAACGGCGGGACAGAAGGCCAGAGATATCTCAGATACTGGAAAGGCTCAGCCAGATGAGGGCAGCATTGTTGGTCACAAGTCCACAAGTCCCGTTAGTCCAGTCATAAGCCTTGGGTGAAAGGTGACAAAGGACTTCTTCTATCACTGTTCACTGGAATAGCTCTTGACTTGGCTTAAGACTGGAAGGCCTGTGATAGACTTGTAGGGACTTGTGTTGGACTCAACTACAACACTGGGACAGGGAAGTTGGAATGATTGTAACGTAACATGTGTCATGTTATAACGTAGCCTGCCTTACATCATGCACTGTGAATGATGCAAAACATAGTTGCTTGTCTTTATATTAATAGAAGGCGCAAGAGATCAGCATATTTTATTAGTGTGGTACCTATCTCAAGTGATTTTCTATTCTCTTAAACGTTTTCCATTAGTTGGATAAAGGTGTGTCCTGCAGAACTAAGAGATGTCATTATTCCTTTGGTAGTATGCTTGAAACTACACCTGTACATTATTTTTAATCACTGGTGAAAGTAGTGCCCTCTTTTTTTTTTCTGCATAGTCAATGTATGAGTACCGCATTAAGGTGAGAGCAGAGATTTTGGCTACAGCTGGAAAATTCAACCAGAAACAGATGGGTTTTATATTATTCTCAGATCCCATTTATAGGCCCACTATTTTTTTTGGCATGTGTAACATCCCTGTGTGTTTCCCAAGTGCACCATTGTTTGCAAGCATTAACTTAATTAATGCGTGTTCTTAATTAGAATGTTTGATGGAGCCTTAGAGAAATACAAGATCTTGGGGTGGTAGCATGCAATTGATTTGACCACAGTTTGAATTGTGATAGATTCATCAACAGTCACCTTAGGGCTTCCTCCTTTCCCATTTCAAGTAGGCATCATGAGATCAATTTTGTCAGGTTCCGGGAATGATACAGATTCTGGAGGTGATAGCACACAGTTGTTTTGAACAGAAATTCTAGTGTAATATTTCCATATTGTGAACAGTTTTTAAGGTTTCCTTGTCAATCACATGAGATGTTTAAGATTTGACGGAGGTACTATTTAAATAATCTGTCATTTCTGAATGACCTGTAGTGATCCGGTCCATCTGTAATATAATTGGTGTATATATATACACATTTATTTTGGATTAAATTCTAAAATGCCAAACTGTTTGGATCAACATTTGATAGCCATCAAGTTCAAACGTAAACTCTAGGCTAAAATGTCTATTTGTATTTCGTGTCAAGAATATTTTATGACTACAATGTGTATTTTTGTAAAATATTCAATTAGCTTGATCATATACATGTATACACGTACATGTGCAGTGCATCATAATTGTACTTAAATTGTAATTTGTAGGCATGCGTATGTGTTTTTTGACTGTTATTTTCAACACTGCAGTTTTTCAGAGGACCTTGATCTGGGGTGAAGAGAAGAGCTGCATTGTTTGAGTGATTTAATTCTTTCTAGACTTGGTTTGTCAAGCAGCTTTATTATGCGCTTATTAGATCATTTAGATTGTAGTGCCTGAACATTTCAGGAAAATGGGGGCAAAGTATACCGCATTTAATTATCTGTGATTCCCTTGCAAATGGCTTTAGTATTTCATATATAGTCAATTCAACAAGATGCTTCGTAGCTAGTGCGTAGACCAAGACAGTAAAATAAAGGTTGACTGTGGAAATCAGACGATGCGTTTTTGTTTCCAAATTCAAATAAATCTTTACTTTCCACTTTGCTGTACCTCAAAGTAATTCCAGCACCTTTCGCATATTTGGTGCCCAGGAGGTTAGAGCCTACGACAGGTGATGTGTTTAATCTAGTCCTTAAATCGCTGTCTATCGACGACAAGTCTTTTCTCTTTGTGTTTGCATTTATGGGCTCGACATTTTCAAAATGCCATCTTTTGGCAATACTGCCCATTTATTTACACTTGAATCATTTTCTGCCTCGGACGGAATTTTCTGAAATTTTCACACTTAACATAACTTGTTTGAGGATGCAGTCTTGAGCAAGGACCCTTCATCATAGTACGCTTCTGTCGACAGAGGGCGCTTTTCCTGCTCACCGTACGGCTTTTTTTTTTTTTTTTTAAGGGAAACACCAGCGCGAGCCCTACTACTATACTAGACACTATATGTACCAGTAGTTGTGAATACTGGCACATCTTTCTTTGGATGCTGCGGAAAGTTTGTGCATCAAAAGATACGGCTCATTCTGCCCTACTTGCATTCCTTTTACCCCCTGGCGGCATATATGGGGGCAAAATCAAAATCCCTTTCAAAAGTCACATGAAATATAATACGGACAATATTTTGAATTTGCCATGCAAAAAACATACAGGTGGCGGAATTCGCTCTGACTTCGCATTGCTGAAGTGAATAGCTCTACGTCAAGTCTGACAAAGTTAGCATCAATTGGCAAACGGGTATGACGTATTTCTGAAGATAACTGTTAATTCGTCGAGTATTTTTAATTGACAGCAGTTTGCGATCGGAAAAGACAAAAGTACGGATTTGGACTTTGTGCGTGTGTTTTTACATTAAAATGTGTACAGGAGTTTTAGATATGCAGTTATGAGGTTATAGCCAATACCAAAACTGTACATGTAGGCCTACACGTTTCTGTTGCATTGGAAATGTTTGTGGATTTCACTGTACAACATGTTCACACTAATCACTTACATTTTTCAGCAAATTGACAACCTAATCAATTTATTTCCATGCCGTTGAAGAGAAAGTGTGATTCGCTTAAATTAAGTGATAAACCCTCTTGTTAAGTTTTCAGGAAGTTGCTTGTTTCCCGAGTTGATAATGTTGCGCGGTGAAAGTCATGAATATTCATGATGGGTGTATGCTCACAAAGCCAGGCTAAGTTTGTTACTCGTACCCCACACTTAATGCCAGCTTTTGCGTAAATATTTCAACTAGGAACAGCATGTCGGGGTAAAATGCCACTTAAATTGCATTTTGGAGGCTATGTGAGGGTGACAAACCCTGTGTCGCATGCTGTGGTGGATGGGGCGACAAGGTAAGTGATACAGTGAGTCATAAATATTGTGGGAGTTTTGTTCCACATGCTAACGAAGAGTTATGGAAGTAAACAAAGGCCGCACGTGCAACTTGATAGATTTGCGATATAGTGTCTGCAGTTGGCTGGATGTTCTATACATTTGATCGCAAACAACAGCGAATTACAAGCGAAATTGTCCCTTCATATTTCTGTATTAGGATAATATAGGGATGTGACTGAGCACTGAGAATCATAATGCAAGTACTTTGCAAGAGAATTTTGTTAGCCGCTCAGCTGTTGCTTTCCAGACTAGATAGTGACGGAGAAGGAACGCGGCTATGTAGGACATGTACTCTGTCAGTATAACTGGAAAGAAGCCCTAGCCTCTTGGTAACTTGAAGTCCTTTTACATTTCCTGCCTTCGTAGTAGTAATAGTGGCGTCAAATTTCCTCGTGAAAGTGAATATTTCATCCGGGTCTGCGGCGGCGAGGGCATCGTCATGCTATAACCGTGCCCTTCGGTCGGACTCGGTGTAAATCATATATGACTAGTTGGAAGCTGAGAACCCTGCAGTGGCCGTTCTTTTCCTTGCTATGTACATGTACATATACAAGTAGTTCCTCAAATTACAACACAACAGGGTTGCCCCCTTTTTACGGTTCCCTCAGGGAAACAAACTTTCAGTTCTAAATCGTTTTCAGTGGTGCAATAATAACATGGCTGAATGTGGTTACCTAAACTATTCCGGAATTGGAATTTGGAAAGAAGGTGAACATTTTATATAATTCTCCGGATCTAATAAACCTTAACTGACAGTTTATATTCGCTAAAACCGATCTCTATAATTTATTGTTTGTCTTACGTGGTCAGTTTGTTTTACTATCATTAGAAACTACACGTATTTGCATTGTAGAAAACAGGTTCGGTTTTTGCCGAACTAGTCACAACTGCACTTACCCCCTGCATTTTCACATTTCCAAGTCATTCATAGCAGCATTCAGTTTTATTCTGACATTTCCCCCATTAAACTCTTATCATTACGGCAGTGTTTGACTGAGATGTTCAAGCCAGACAAATCATGCTGGTTTTGTGATAACCTGTAATCGCAAATTGCTTCCGTTCCAAAGTTCAGTGGTTGCAACAGTCATGAAATGAAGTATTCGTTTGATTTTTGAATTTGTAAATAATTTAAGCGGTTAATGATTTGGAAAATGAATGGTTTTCATCCTTTCCCCCTTAAATTCCGAATAGATTTACTGCTGAACTTAATTTTGAACGATTTATTGAGCTTGGCGTGCATGCCACTACGAGTACGATACATATCGTCCTCTCTTTTTCACGTCCCTCTCTCAAATGAAATCCGCCATTGACTAACCGGCCACCTGCTTTTATATGAAGCTATATTTATCTCAATCGATTAGCATCTAATTATTCCTTATAAGGAATTCCTCTTATGACTCTCGCCCAATACGCAGGTGTCTATTATCGGTTAGCCATGTGGTTTTGTGTCGGATACGGTTATTGGTGTTCACGCTTGGCGGCATATTCGGTGAACCCGGATGGATGTTGATTGGAGAATTTTACATTATCATAATGAATATGCATTTTCATCGCTGACTGGCCGCTTCCTCGTGCCTATTTCATGTTTTCCCATGCATGTCTACGTGCGCTTACGATCGGATCATCGTTGCGGTTGTGTGGCATGTGTGCGTTGGTGGTGAACGAATGCTAAAAAGGGGGCAGGTCTGTTTTTTGGCGTTTTTGGACCACCAAAACAACCCAGCCAGGCGTGCTCCAGGAACGACGCAATTTGTGGGATCCCTGTGAATGTCTCCTCTTGATATCGCTTCACTTGGACCGTGATTTTCGAAGCAGGAAAATCATGGATGTGTTCCCGAGCGGAGACATTTTTCAGGAGTTGAAGGTTTTGCACGAGACGGGTTGCTACTCCGCGCTTCCGTCGCTGGAGGAGCATTGGCATCAGGTAAGCCGAGGATGTCATGTCAAGTGCTTTTTCCCGGGTCCCGCACGTGATTTTCACCATGAAATTTCCTTAAGAACTGCCAGTAGTAGGACATGTAGGAATGCCACTCACAGTTCATTTTTGGCGCAGTCAATATTTGTAAATTGTTTGTAATTTGAAGAATTATTATATCCGCTGTAAAAAAAAATCGATTGATATACTAGGCCTGAATGCGTTATGTCGACTTAGGCCTAAAAATCACGTGTCCTTTTCAACAAAATTGAAACCCTGCACTCAGTCTGTGCCGGCTCTTCCATTGATGGAGCAAGTAGGCCTACATGTGATATAGTACTATTTTGTAGGGAAGACCATTCCTTCATTTGGAGACGAACCAGTCAGTGTTGGTATCTACTTGATAGATACCACACTGACTCAATTTTAATTGAGGTCCTTTGCTCAAGTAGGGCCTAATAGTAATTGGTCATGTTAGTTTAGGTTTTCTTACATGATGAATAGCCTAGGCCATGTAGGCCTACTGGAGCGAGTCGTATTATCACCTAAATACTCATTAAAATACATGTAATAGTATACATTTACCTTGCATTGCTTTAAAAAGGGCAAATAGGCCCTACTGTTATCCCTGAATGACATTCATTATTGCAGCATTAGATTATTTTGCCTGTTTATTAGTAAAACCTATATGGTTGGTTTGTTGGCACCAGACTAGAGAACAGTTTTGTGACCCCAAACATGATTTTTGGTGGATGTAAGAGTCACATGTATGTTGTTGCAGCACACAGAAATGGCTCTCTCCCAGACCCCCAGAATGACATCACCTGACATAATGTACCATGATTCAGTTTTTCCCAAAAGAAATTGAAAAATGAAGAGGAAAAGAGAAACTGTTGATACAAAAAAAGGGATGCCATCTTTAATCAGCAATAACCCCAAAAGTGGAACACCCCACGGTTCATGAAAATAATAAAACCTGCTGCCTGTTGCAATGCGTACATGTGTAATTTGTGACGCTTAAACTGAGTACCATATGTGTAGTACATGTAGCTTTCAACTGTCTGCTAGGCCTACTAGGTCTAGAACTGTACATGAATGTGCTCTGTCATGTTATGATATACAGTAACATGGGATTACATGTGGAGTTGAGAGGCGGCTGGGCCTTGATTTATTGCACAAGTAAATGAACACCGCTGTGGTTGTCTGAGCCATTTCTCTGAAGAGAGGGCCCCACAGGCAAAGAAAATTCCATGTTGCAACAGTAATACTAATAGCACTTTGTGCTGTCTGCCAGCATTCTTAATCCTATCCCACATAGGGCCTATAGGCTTATATACATACATGTACATGTATTCCTCTTAAAAGTTGACCAAGATAAGTATATTTCAGATGATTTCACACTTCACAGCGCACCAAAATGTATTCAGGAAAGTAAATTGAGATTCAGTAAGGGCTAAAGTGATTACATTTTATTACAGACACTTAGTGAGGACACCTACATGTACCTACACAGTGTTAATAAGGTGTGCTAGTCATCAAGTTTATTGGTAAGACATCAGGCTGGCCTGCAGTGATAATGTCTGATCGTTTGGCTTTATATTCATTCAAGCTTGCACCGAAAAGGGCAATCCACTCTGCTTGAAAGATTAAATTGTGCATCTGTGCATATTTAATATCTGTGTTGGCTGTACAGTGTACTGGTAGTTGCACAGCCAACACTGGACAGCACTCAATTCACATAGTAGGAATTGCTGTTACAAAGAGATGCCTTTTACAATCGCATGAATGTTATTGTCTCTTCTTTATGGAGCGTGTTAGTGTTAGGGCCCGTCCATAAAGTATCGGTACGTATGCACGAAATGCTGACTTTTCAGATTACCCCCCCGTACGCATGGCATACGCAGTGGCTCCAACCCCCCTCTCCCTCGTACGTTTACGCTTTCCACTATCCCAGAAGATGCTGCTGGTCTTTGTGTCGTGCGTCATGTTGTGGTTTACTTATAATGGGCGTTGGCACGGGAGGATAACTGGTGGAGTGGACAGTGGAGGATACCGGTACTTTGTTTGAATTTCGACGCACAAAAGCTGATTCTGATATTTATTTGCATGAGAAAGAGTATTCATATGATGAAGATTCATTAAAGGCAAATTTTCAGTTTACGTACAGTATACACTGGCTTGAATCCCCCTCTGCACCCATCGTGTACGCAACAGCACCAACCCTCCTCCCCCTGCTGGCCGTGTAGTGTGAAGGTACTGTAAGGACGGCCCCTTACCCTGTCAACAAGTTTGAAACAAGGTCAGCCTTATCCAGGTAGTCTAGCCGGTACAATACACTGGTATTGTACATGTACATGTTGGCCAACCACTTGTCAGAGAATCTGCCATAATTTTTTCTGAAAGGTCACTTATCGCCATGGTTTTGTCCAACCTTGGCCAGGCTATTTTTCAGCCTTGCTTCTGCCCTGGGATGCCAGGCCCATTATGAAATCATTTCGCTTGATTCATCTGCTGTCAGAAAATGGCTGGCTGTGAATGCAGCTAGGTAACAAGGATTAGCCCTGACAAGAGACCCTCCACTTCCTGGCGGTAGCTTCAAGGCTGCTGGAGGTACATCCTTCCTGTGTTGTATGTGTGTGCGCGCGCTGTTTGGACGAGATATACTTTGACTTTGTTTAAAGGACCACAGAGCAGTTCACATGTGGGTTTTTGGCGGAAGTTGACTGCCTCTGTGCAGAGCCATGTTATTTTCTGTTTCACAAGGTTCATTTCTTCCTTTCCAAAAAAAATGAAATTCTGTTTCAGCCGCAAAGAAAGAAAAGAGTAATAAAACAGAATCTGTTTCACATTTGGTTATGTGCCTCACCTGCGCATCCTCTGAGCCATGTGTAAGTTGTAGAATTCCACAAAAGTGATGAACCAAACTTTCCTTTCAGATCGTGTTTGTGCAAAACTTCTGAATTTCTAGAAAAAAATTAAAATTTCTGCTTTTCGCTAAACGTTTGTGTAAGAATTAATAACCCTAACCCTCCTCAATCCTTCACCTGTTGGAGGACTGAGGAGTGTTAGGGTTAAAGGATAGAATTTAGCAAATATCTAATTGCAGTGCTCACTGTACAAAGTGTTTGATACAAGTCAGTTTGTTTCAAGATGGAATAGTATTTAAGTTTGTCATATTTTTATCTAATCAGAAAAGTCTTTGGACTAGCTTCAGCATAAAACATTATTTTTTTTCATTTTGTTGTAATTTTAGTAATTTGAAAAGTGTTCATGTCACATTTCAAAGTATTGATGAAAAAATCATGTGAAGTAGTCCATATGGTCGTATCCATCAACATTTCGTTCAACGTCGTACTGTTTTTGCATGGTCACTTAAAATGAAAAAAGTTGTCATTACTTTTGTACTTATGTTCTTAAGTAGGAATATTTGAAAGGTCAGCAAAGCAGACAGTCGTGGCATTTCGCAATGTGTTTTATATTGGTCCCTATATCATAATGTATGTGGTGTACACACTGCCTGCATGGACATCACAAGTGAAAAATGTAGAAAGTTGTAAACTTTAATTGGAATTGAAACGTATAGATTATCTGAACAGCATCTCACTTTAACCAAGCTAGCTGCTCGTATTGGAGTATGCACCACATGCATAGCTACATGTAGATTGTGTTTGGGTTTTAAACCTAGATATAATTGCATTTTCATTCCTAGCCAGTCACATGCCCTCCTGTTATTCAGGTCCTGCCTGCCCTGGGAATGATTATGTACGCTCCATCTAGCAGCTTGCATTGACGGAGCCCAACCAGGCAGGGGCAGCGTAGTAAGCCAGTGGACCAATCAGCTTTGGCAGCCGTCCAGTCGGGCCATGAGGCCTCAGCGATTCACAGCCCACGTGAAAGGATTTGTGCCCATATAAGGCTACGCAATAAATAGGCAAATATGTGACCCGCCGTCTCTGTGGCAACAGGGTCATATGTTAATGGGATTTCCAGTCCTGTGGGGCTTATTATTTATCCATCAGTGTGTTGACAGATATGTCTAGTGTGTGGGCATCCATCACTTGGTCATGTGATGTGCATGCAGTACCATAAAGGGACTGTAGTCAAGTCATACATGTATACATTTTGCAGATTTGTCATGTGGCACACATTGCAGGCCTACATGTACATGTACATGTACAGTGTACTGTACATGTATACGTGTACACGTTTATTTTGACAATGTCTCACTAATGAATATATCATGCGTGTGTTTATTTTTGGCTTACAAAATGCATATTAACTATCACAATGGTTACCTGTGTTATTAATTATCCAGTGCCTGGAAGATAAATTAATCTCTTTCATGACCCCATAAATAAGCACTGATCGAGAACTGTTTCAGAATTCCTTCTAAAACCCAGAATACTAGTTTAAAAGGGTTGATAACAATTTTTCAGACTATAAAATCTCGATTTTTATTTCATCAACTCTGTTTAGTTCGTCAATGTGAAAACTTGTTTGTCTTCATAATTATTTCTACTCTCAGTGTACCGGTACATGTGGGACATCATACTCAGTGACAACATCTCACATAATCAAAATACAGACTGTGAGACATGCTAAAAATTTATGTTTTTGGTTTTGGAAGATCCAAATGGGGTCAAAGTGGGTTTTATTTAACAGATTGGTGGCGGGTATAGAAAAGGTACTCTCATTGTCAGCTGAGAGGCTACATTCCTGCACATAGACCATAGTGGCACATGCAGGCTGATGACTCACCAAGCCCAATGGACCCAGTCATTATTTCCCATCAAAGGGTTCATGGTAGGCAAACAGTTCGCTTTGTGGATTTATTCCATGGAGAGAAGATGGGCATTCATTGAGCCCTGTGCAGGCATGCATGCCTGGGTGGCCCTGTGCATTTGATCCTGCCGATATCAAAAGTGTTGGGAACCAGCGCTTGTTTGCTCACTTCCTTTCTTATGAAGTTATGAATATTGGTACGTGGACTCAAGAAAACTGTACAACTT